TCTCAGCTCCCTACAACTTCCATCTCATGGGTTCAAGTAATTCCCCTGCCTCAGCCTCCCAAGTAGCTGTGGGACTACAGGTGTGTGCCACCACACCCCGCTAATTTTTGTATTTTTTTGCAGAGATGGGGTTTCACCATGTTGGCCAGGCTGGTGTCAATCTCCCAGTCTCCCAAAGTCCCAAAGTGCTGAGATGACAACTGTGAGCCACGGTGCCCTGCCCAATGTAACCTCATCTTATCTTAACTAATTGCATCTGCAAAGACTATTTCCAAAAAGGACATATTCTGAGGTGCTGGGTGTACATGAATTTTGGGAGGATACTATTCAACCCCAAAAAGGACATATTCTGAGGTGCTGGGTGGACATGAATTTTGGGAGGATACTATTCAACCCAGTACACAATGGTACACTCATATTTTAACCTTCTTCTTTTTTTTTTTTTTTCTAAGACAGGGTCTTGCTCTATTGCCCAGGTGGAGTACAGTAGCATTATCATAGCTCACTGCAGCCTTGACCTCCTGGGCTCAAGCAATCCTTCTACCTCAGCCTCCTGAATAGCCAGCACTACAGGTACACACCACCACACCCAGCTGAGTGTTTAATTTTTTTGTAGAGATGGGGTCTCACTATGTTGCCCAGGCTGGTCTCAAACTCCTGGACTCTTTCGACACAGGACCGAAGTGTTTCCTTGGAGTGCAGAGCTGCTGAAGGATGGCATCTCTCTCACACAAACCCCAGCCACTACCTCCAGAGTCATTCCCTCTAGCACAGGCTGAGAAGGCAAAAGAAAGTAAAGATGCTTGCAAAAGCCATCTGAGTGAAGAATCCTTCATGTTTATACTTCCTTCTCCCAACGGGCAGAATTCTTTCAGCATATCTGGTCAAGCTCACATATTAGATTCGCAATGTCAATTGATTTGTTAATAGGGACTAAACTTATTGTTGGTGGCTCTCCAAGAGGACGCCAAGTAGATTTAGAGAAACTATCTCTTGCTCGCTTCGACGTTCATATATAATCAGCTTACATGTGAATGTGTGGAATGGTCAATTTTGTGTGTCACCTTGACTGCGGCTCAGGGGCCTATGCTCAGATAGCTCGGGTAGACATCCCGGCCGTCTGTTTCTTTGGTGTGGTCTATGGGAGGGTTTGCAAAAGAGATTAGCATGTTGGAGAGCATGGACTGAGCAAGGAAGATCCACACTTCCGTCCCCACCGCTCGCCTGCCGCCAACCGCCCACTCCAAGCCTAGGAGGCAGAAGCAGGAAAGGCGAAAGGACAGGGACTCATGTCTCTTTCGTCCTTGAGCTTAGACATTCATCTTTCTCCTGCCCTCAGGTATCGGACTCCTGGTTTGCAGGCCTTTGGACTCTGGGAGCGGTGGACAGCCGAGGGGGCTGTCAGCCTCAGATGAAACATGTACCACGCAGCTTGTTCTGGAGCCTCTCTAGCTCACGACTCGGGCACGGCAGCTGGTGGGACTTCGTTGGCCTCGTAAGCTCTCACCCTCTCCCGATAATACTAAGTCTTTCTCACATAAAAATCTAGTTGGTTCTGGTACTCTCGTAGAGGGAATCTGGATACGTGGAACCAGGACCACTAACAAGCCGGCACCATAACAAGTTTGAGGGAAGTAAGACACAGTAAAGACCACGTGAGCTAGTGTATGACACAAGGGAACTTGGAGGGCCATGCTACCAAACGCCTCTGTGCAACAAGGGACAAGATCGCAGACTGACAGCATACACCAACCGCAACGGAAAGGGCGAGACCTGCCGGTACCTGAATGCGAGCGAGAGCGCGTGCAGACGTGAAGATGAACCAGACGGGTTAAAAAGGAGATGGAGTGTGTGGGGAGTTTCGTGAAAATAGTAGGAGTTCCAGTTGCAAAGATAGGAAGGGGCTTGGGTGAGCGAGGAATGAGCCGAACGAGCGCGCGAGAAGCGAGGAGCGGACGAGCGTGGGGCAGACCACAAACGTTTCTGGCGATAGAGACGGGGCAGAGAAGACCTTTACATGCGGGCAGAGCACACAGCGGAGAAAACCAGGGCATTTTTTTCTTCTTGTTTTGTTTCGTGTGTTTGTTTGACACAGGGCCTGCGCTGTACGCAGGGCTAGAGTGCAGTGACACAGAGAGCGGCATCAGCGCGCAAGGTCGGCCAAATCTGGCCGAGCCGTGCTGACGGTGGGCTGATAAGCGTGGAGCTGGCGCGACTACCAGCGACACCAGAAGGGTTTGGTGTTGTGTGTGTTTTGTGGTGGTAAGGTGTTAGGTAAGCGCATGTATGTGCCGCGCGCGAGCTGCCAAACCGTAACAATGGTGCGCGCCCGCCCTCGCGCCGCGCGCGGTACGTTGGCATCTCAAGAGGTGCGAGATGGATAGGTGTGAGCCACTGTGCCTGGGTCTAGAAGTGCTCTCTTGCATGAGCTGTAGGAGAGAAGAAAGATGGAGAAGGACAGAAGGAAGGACAGGCCCACGTCAGGAAGGGTGTGGCAGCTGTGGTGGGGTCCAGGTGGTGGCGAGGCATTAAGCAGTGGGCGGTGGCGGCCGAGTGCTAGGCATTAGACAGGCTGTCGCACTGAGGAAACCTGTGGTGACACGGAAGGAGGCGCGCGGTGGTAAAGAAAGGCGCTCTCTCGTACCTCACACAGGCAGCGGCCTGATTTGCATGTATTTCTGTGCTCTTGCAAAGCCCTCCCTGCTGCGCGGGAAGTATCTCTGTCCTCCGTGTTCCTTAGACATACACAGTGTCTGGAACCTGGGCATATCCTAAGCATATTTGGTCCATCAAAAGTCTGTTTCGCGAGAATGAATTATGGATTGCTTTCCTGGCTTATGAAAAATGAGAAGGAAGATATATATGAGCCATAGGTATTAATGTCATTTCAGCCAGTCAGCGATTTTTATTTAATATCCCAACCAATATGGATGTTTAATAATGAGTCTCCTGGAAACCTTAAAGAAAAGAATAGTAAATACTAGAGTATTTAAAGCATTCATTTCTTGACCACCTATTGAGTGTCAAGAACTTTTCTAACTATAGAGGGGCTCTGGGGTGAAACCAAAAAAGTGGTTTGTTGATGGAATGCTATGGAGAGCTGCAATCCCCGTTCAGAGATTCCTTTTGCTACTACACCTGCCTGGCTATTTTGTTATCATTGTTGTCCCCATGTTTTCCGTATTTTACTAGCAAGGCATGTTGGGCTTTTTATTTCTTTTGTTTTTTGTTTTTTTAAGACAGGGTCTCGCTCTGCCACCCAGGCTGGAGTGCAGTGGCGTGATCTCAGCTCACTATAACCTCCACCTCCCAGGTTAAAGTGATTCTCGTGCCTCAGCCTCCTGAGCAGCTGAGAGGAGGTGCCTGCCACGACACCCAGCTAATTTTTCTATTTTTAGTAGAGACAGGGTTTCACCACGTTGGTCAGGCTGGTCTCAAACTCCTGATCACCTCAAGTGATCCACCCACCTCAGCCTCCCAAAGTGCTTGAATTACAGGCATGAGCCACCACGCCCGGCCGGCATATTGTTAAAAAAACAAAGTCTGTGAATTTCTTTCTGAAAGACTGAGAAAGCATACTCCACAATGTGGGGGAGAAGGCATACCACTGGAAGAAAAACAGGTAAAATCCCAGAGGCCTGAGGGTAAGAAGAACTTATGCATGCAAAACCAGTCTGAGACCAAACCATGGTCATAAAGATTTAAATGCAACAATCTCTGTCCCAAAACAACACTCTTTGCCTTCCTGAGCCCTTTCAAGGTGGGATAGTTGAGTTGCACAACTTGCAAAGTTAATGAGCCATAAGCACTCACTCCCTCATTTCACTGCCTGGTCGCCAACAACTCACTGACGGAGGTACAGTCCAACCTGAGTGGGGAGCTTGGGTTCTTCCTGTCCTCAGGCTGCCTGCAGAGAACACAACCAAACTCCCAGGAAGTAATGTGGACAACAGATCACGCATCACCAGGAACAGCTCTGCTGTAATGTTCATTCCTCAAGATTCACAAACAGTTGTTCCTGAACTAACCTCAACAGGGCACAGACTTCTCAGTGTTCTATCCACAGTCTTTACCATGTGACCAGTCGGAATGGGGTGGCCCAGCAGATTAAGGCCATGGTGATAGACAAAATGTTTACAAATTATCCTTCTAGTTGCTGAAGGTCAAGGAGGCCTGGGGGCCGGGGCAAGGGCAGCCAGGAACACTCAAAGCGGTCAGGGTAGTAGGTATTTATCAGCTAGTATGAAAGAATTTCTATATTAACTAGTGAGAGATGAAAACCCTAACACAGGGATAGAAAACCAAATACTGCATGTTCTCACTTCTAAATGATGAGAATATGTGGATACATAGAAAAAACCACAGACACTGGAGCCTCTCAGGAGGTGGAGGATTGGAGGAAGAAGAGGATCAGGAAGAATAACCAGTGGGTACTAGGCTTAATACCTGGGTGATGAAATAATCTGTACAACAAACCACCATGACACAGGTTTGCCTATGTAACAAACCTGCACATGTACCCCTGAATTTTAAAAAAAAAGTTTAAAAAAAGAGAGAGATGAAAACCACCCTTGAGTTCAGAACCTCAGAATAGGGGTTGACAAACCTTTTCTGTAAAGAACCAAATGGTAAATATTCTAGGCTTTGCAGGCCACGTGGTTTTTCACAACTACTCACCTCTGCCACTGTAGTGTAAAAGCAGTCATAGACAATACATAAATGAGTAAGTGCCTGGTTGTGTTCCACTGTAACTGTAAAAGACAGGCAGCAGGACAGATATGGCCCACAGGCTGTAGTTTGTGATTCCTGTCTTACAGCATAGCAGAGCTAATAGTCCTACCAATCAATCAAGTCTCAAGCCTCAATCTCATTAGTAGTATCTTACCAACTGATCTAACCAAGCACCAATGATTCTTTTGTGTATGCTTGATGTTTACAGACCCCAAGAGACCAAGTCAAAATCAGCAGTCAAACCCCTCTCCCTAAAGTAAGATACTCACCCAGAAAAATCCGTAGTGAGAATTCCATAGTGGAAGATGTATATTCGGCTGATGTGGCATATTGTAAGATATCCCATGGCTACAAAAAAGGAATATCTGGAAGCAAAAACATAGATGATCAGGTTATTATGCATAGCAATAACGCACTTAATGTTCCCCTCTTCCTCTCTTTCACCCTCCACATGCAATTGGTCTCAATGTCCTATCTGGTCCAGCGACATCCCAGTCCAGCTTTCCACCCACTACTCTAGCTGAGCCCTTCATCTCTTCTCACCTGGACCACTACAGTGGCTGTCAGCCTTAGCTGCGTAATGGAATGGAGCTTTGCAAACCACAGATCCCTGGGACCTGCTCCCAGCTCTTCCTGTTTAATTCCTGCCACACCTGGCAGGTGTAATGGAAGTGCACAGCCAGGGCTGGGAATCACTACGTGTAAGGTCTCACACTCAAGATTCTCCTCTTCACAGCCCTCATGTTTACATGATGATTTTTGTAAAGTACAAATCATCGCCATACTGCTGGCCACTTCCTCTTTAAACACTTTATTCTCTTGGCTTCCATTCTCCTGTTTTCTTCCCACCTCTCTGGTTAATTCCTCCAAGGCTCCTTGCTCAGCTTTCCTTCCTCCACCTACCCCTCAAGTGTTGGCATTTCCAAGCTCAGCTTGGGACCCTATCCATCCATGCCTCAGGCTTCAATTACCACCTGCTCATGAGCGCCCCCTGGCTTCCTTCAGAGATATGTTCCTGACCACCTTATAGTGTACACTAGCAATATACACACAAGCCACACAAACACACACATCCACATGTAAGTATTGTCAAATGTGTAATTATAAATATAGGTGATAAGCTGTGCAATGAATGTTTATGTCTCCCCAGAATTCCTATGTTTAAATCCTAACCCTCAACATTAGGAGGGTGGGTCCTTTGAGAGGTGACTAGGTTATGAGGGCAAAGCCTTCATAAATGGGATTAGCCCTCTTACAAAAGAGACCCCTGAGAGCGCTCACTCTTTGAGCTATGTGAGGATACAAGAAGACGGCAGTCTGTAACCCAGAAGAGAGTCCTCACCAGAACACGCTGGAACCCTGAACTCAGATTTCCAGCCTCCAGAACTGAGAACTATTAATACATTTCTGTTGTTTATAAGCCACCCACTCTACATACAGTACTTTGTTATAGCAGTCTTAGCTAAGACAATCTGATTAACACCCATCTCCTTGACCAACCTGTAAGCTCCATGAGGGCAAAGATGGTCACCTGTGCTTTGTTCACCATATCCACCTACTGTGTGTCAAATGAATAAACAACTATGTGACTGCTACTCTTCTTAAAAGTCTCCAGTGGATCCCACCATCTAGTGAAATTGCAACCCCTGAACACAGCATGCAAGGTGCTTCACACGCTAAGCTCTACCTCACCTTTCTGGACCCATCTCCAGCCATGCTCCATGTTTACCTTACTCTCAAATGACACTGCACTGCTCATGTTCCACAATGAAACTCTGTATTTTCAGGCAAGATGTCTTTCTGCATGCTCCTTCTTCTGCCTGCAATTCATCTCCATCCAACAGTCTATCTGGAACCTGCCTAATTTTCAGATGAGGCTCAGCTCCAAAGTCACCTCTTCGATGTTCCTTGGCTTGGTCTTACTCCATGCATCCCACCACATCTCCTGTTCCCCACCCCCAGCACAATTCACTGCTCCACTGCCTGTATGTCTCTAGTACTACATGCTAACATACATAATGACAATATTAGAATTATTTATGTATGTGTCTGTTTCCCCAACTCACTGTGACCTTGAACATCCCTACCCTTGACCTGACATGTGGGAGGGCTTCAGTTACTGTTAGTTGAAATGAACTGAAATGAATACATTACATATTTGAAGTGATTCAGGAGCCCATCAGATATAGACATAAATTCAGAAGGTATAACTTTTAAATATGTGCCATAAAACAGGGAAGAGGTATATTCTGATATTAAATTATATTGAAATCACATATTCACATTAAAATAACTCATGAAGACTAGATCAGCCTAAGGAACAGTAAAGTAGGGATAATAAAAATTCATTTGGTAGCAAGGGATAGCCAGACTTTAAACAGTGTGAAGGAGTTCTGTAAACTCTAAATCACTATATAACTTTTAAGTGCTATTCACCATTATTTGCAAACGAAGTGGTTACTATGCAGAAAAGATTTTTTCTCTACTGTGGGTTCATCCTAAACCACTTCCAAACCAGGAAGATGGTCAACAATGCAAATGACTAAGAGAAAATAACTCCCTTAGGAGCTGAAGCAGGAGTGGAATGGAGTTAGGCCTTGTCGCCTCCAGCAACTGTTCCCTTTCTCCAGCCAATTCATGAAGCTCAAGGCAGAAACACAAAGCTGACTCAAAAGATAGATTCTTCCAGAACCAATTCCAATGCAGCCATGCCTGCTGCTTCCCCTTTGTCCTCAACAGGAGTTAGACCTGTACCTTCCCCTGGCCCACAGGAGAAAGAAAGCAAGTTCAACTCAATTGTTGTAAGACCCCGCCTGAGGACAGTGCCAAGTGCTGAGTCCCAATACAATAAGGCAACACATTCGTGCCCTGGCCAAACCTAAAACATCTAAGAAATCAAGAAGTGGTAGCAAGAACATGTATTCTACAGACTGACTGTAGAAATAATTTTGCTGTGTCCCCACCCAAATCTCATCTTAAATTGTAGCTCCCAAATTCCCACATGTTGTGGGAGGGACCCAATGGGAAGTAATTGAATCATGGGGATGAGTCTTTCCTATGCTGTTCTCGTGATAGTGAATAAGTCCCACAAGGTCTGATGGTTTTATAAAGGGGATTTCCCCTACACAAGTTCTCTCTTGCCTGCTGCCATGTAAGACATGCCTTTTGCCTTCCACCATGATTGTGAGGCCTCCCCAGCCACGTGGAACTGTGAGTCCACTAAACTTCTTTTTCTATACAAATTACCCAGTCTCAGGTATGTCTTTATCAGCAGTGTGAAAACATACAAATACACAGACCAGTACGAGCTCAAATCCCAGCACTGGCAGAAGTAATCCATGGTGGGAGAAGTTGGCAAAGCAGTTATTCTAAGAAGGAGAGGTGTGGTAGAGATTGGCACATGAGGCCGGGCGCGGTGGCTCACACCTGTTATCCCAGCACTTTGGGAGGCCAAGGTGGGCGCAAGTTCAAGACCAGCCTGGCCAACATGGAGAAACCCTGTCTCTACTAAAAATACAAAATTAGCCAGGCATGGTGGTGCATGCCTATAATCCCAGCCTCTTGGGAGGATGAGGCAGGAGAATCACTTGAACCCAGGAGGCGGAGGTTGCAGTGAGCCGAGATCACACCATTGCACTCCAGCCTAGGCAACAAGAATGAAACTCCATCTCAAAAAAAAAAAAAAAAAGAGAGATTGGCACATCAGACACAGTGGTTACATGGGTGTGTTCACTTTGTGGAAATTCATCAAACTGTTTACTTATTTATCTCTCTGAGCTTTTGTCTCATCTCCGGAAAAAAAAACAACAACTATATTCCATAGTGTTGTCCTAGAGTGAATATATTTGAAATTATGAAATATTAAATAACAAATTAAATGATATGTTAGATAATAGTTTATATGTTAAAAATGAAATAAAGTACATTAAAAAGAGCTTGGCTTAAGACTTGGCACAAAGCACGGACTCCAGCATTGATAACTGCATCACCAAGTTCTCACGCTAGGCCCTCCGCCCCAGGAGACACAAGCCATGTTCTGCTCCAGCTGGTTCATATAGGGCAAACTGATGCCTGTGACTTCTGCCCGAAACAGTGGCTTGGGAAGGAAACATGGGAGTATCCCTGAAACTTTCTAAACAAATGCTGTATAACAGTCCAGAAATGGCTTAGTTTTGGCCAGGCGTGGTGGCTCATGCTTATAATCCCAGCACTTTGGAAAGCCAAGGCAGGCAAATCACCTAAGGTCAGTCCAAGACCATCCTGGCCAACATGGTGAAACCCCGTCTCTACTAAAATTACAAAAATTAGCTGGGTGTAGTGGCGGGTGCCTGTAATCTCAGCTACTCGGGAGGCTAAGGCAGGAGAATAACTTGAACCGGGGGGGAAAAGGTTGCAGAAAAGCTGAGACCATGCTGTTGCACTACAGCCTGGGCAACAGAGTGAGGTTCTATCTCAAAAAAAAAAAAAAAAAAAAGGATTAGTTTCATATGGCAGCAAATACTAATCTTTCCCTCCTCTTCTCAGCCAAGTAGCAGAACTCTTATCACTGATTCAGTGAAGCAAAGAGGAGAGCAATTCATACAGAATCATGACATCATGGTACTGAAGAGAACTTGCATTCAAACGACTGCAAACCCAGCATTTTGCAGGTGGGAAACCTGACATAGGTAGAAGCTGCACGACTGGTCCAAATTCACACTGCTAGGAGGACCTTGATTTCCTGACTCCAGCCTAGAGCTCTTTCCATAAACAGGAAACAACGCTGAGACTTTTAAAAAATTTACATTGAGTTCATCCAAGGGGAACTGTGAAACAATTTCCACTTCGGCAATATTGGCAACCACAAGAGCAAACCAAGAGGAGCATCAGCCAGGTGTGGTGGCTCACACCTGTAATCCCAGCACCTTGGGAGTCTGAGGTAGGCAGATCACGAGGTCAAGAGATCGAGACCATCCTGGCCAACATGGTGAAACCCCATCTCTACTAAAAATACAAAAATTAGTTAGGTGTGGTGGCGCGTGCCTGTAGTCCCAGCTACTCGGGAGGCTGAGGCAGGAAAATCATTTGCACCTGGGAGGCAGAGGTTGCAGTGAGCCGAAATCGTACCACTGCACTCCAGCCTGGGCAACAGAGTGAGACTCTGTCTCAAAAAAAAAAGGAGCATCTTGTGCTGGCCTCTTTCCTTCTTGGTCTGATGGCAGAGCCCCCTGCTACCAAAATAATACCATAGTGGCACCATCATACCCTGTCTGTAAACCACGTGACTCTGCCAAGGCCAGAGTATTCCATTCCTAGACACTGGAATGGAACTCTGTGAACCTGAACACAGTGAAACAGGCCCAATATGAAGCAAGTGTGTGCGTCAAGTTCCTGATCCTCTGAAAAGTGGACCCCACCCCATCAGCATCACACAAGTGTGGGAAGAGCTGACAAGTTACAACGTGCAAGGAAGTTGGGAATGTGCTATACAGTTGCACCAACATTATTATTAATCATTTACTATGTAATTGCTTCCAAAACCAAGTTTTGGAACAGCCAAGCCTTTTCATCCTCTAGTTAAAAAATAAAAGCTTTTATAATCATTTTGTCATCATATGAAACATTTCCAAAACCCATTCTTTCCAAATTAGAAAAATGGATTTCCTATTTCCTTTCTAGAAGATCACACACACACAAAAAATATCTCACCTTGCATTGTTCATTCCCAGTATCTTACCTGTGAATATTGGATACACTGGCAGTGACCATGATTGCATAGCACATTAACACCAGCACAAAAAGATGCACAGAGTACCTTTAAGACATAATAGGTAGGGGGAGGAGTAATGAATATATTTCATATTAACACACTTTTTGGTCACCCAAAATGTGAATCCATCACTATCCCCGCCAAAAACACAAATGATCAATGATCAGTAACTCGTGTTTATATGAGAGAAAATAAACCAAATATTTTTCTTCTATGTAATTAAGATGCTGTATCTTAAAATGACACAGGGAACTCATGACACAGTTTGCCAACTGCAGGGCTAATTATGTCAGGAATCCATCAATGGAATGCTTACACTTTTTTCACATATGCCATTGAGAGTCCAGAGAGATGAGTTCTTTCTTTAAGACTTTATTTTTTAAACTGGGCTTCCCCAGATACCAAGACTTCTACCTGGTGGCTGATTTAAAATACTCGTCCTTTCTCAGATATTTGTTGAAGGAATAGGGGCAGAATTCTAGGATAGTATCCTGAACAAATGCACAAAATTCCTGAAGGTGTACTTCTCAATATGTTGGTCTCCAAAGCTTCTTCCCTAACACCTTTCAGGGTATTTGCCCAGCTTACTAGTAGAGGAAAGTACAATTGACCAGCTTTCCCTGTTAAAGAATGATTCGCATTCCCCCAAGATCTACACCAAACACATTGTTCTACTCTGGTGAAATCCAGGACTTACACTCACGTCTCTAGCAGTAATGCAAGAAGTACATCAACATCTACAATAGTTAGGAAAGGCTCCTTTTGGGAAAATTAAACCTTACAGCATCCCATTTACATGACTGGGAGGGATCTGTAGAAGTCTAATTTTAAGAAAAAATGGGCTGGGCACAGTGGCTCATGCCAGTAATCCTAACACTTTGGGAGGCCAAGGCGGGTGGATTGCCTGAGCTCAGGAGTTTGTGACCAGCCTGGGCAATACGGTGAAACCCGTCTCTACTAAAAAATACAAAAAAAGATTACCTGGGCATGGTGGTGTGCACCTGTAATCCCAGCTACTCAGGAGGCTGAGGCAGGAGAATCACTTGAACCCAGGACGTGGAGGTCGCAGTGAGCCGAGATCGTGCCACTGCACTCCATCCTGGGCCACAGAGAGCGCAATTAAAAAACAAAAAATTAAATTGGAAAAAAAAAAAAGAAAGAAAAAATGAACTATACTGACTTACAGTGGATGGTCAGTTTATTGGCTCTCATAGTATTTGGAGATTCCAGGTTCTTACAGTAAATGGAGATTCCGGCAATGTCCTCATTATCCTACTATAAGGTATTTACCATATAAAATTTTATAATACATATTTTATAATACCATCTATTTCTTGCTTTAGTGCAATTCCAAGAACATTACCACAAAACATCCAAATGACCAAATTAGAACATATGAGACTCATACTCACCAGCCGAAACAAAAGATGACAAAATAGATGCCAAAAATGGTGGCAACTGCATGCCGGACATCAGAGCTGGTTGTACCAGGACGTAAGTAGATGCGAAACCAGAAAGCAGCAAACAGAGCAACAAGCTGGCATACCACGAAATTCACCTATGACAGGGAAGAGAAAATGAAAACCTTTATTGTTTCACTTTTCTGTGAACTTGCTTTTGTTTTTTGCAGATTTCCACATCAAGAGGCTTCTCAGACTTGGATTTGTTCTTTCTCCCCAATAGATTGTTTGGAAGAGGAAATGAATATAACAGAACAAGACAACTATACCGTCATGTGGTATAAGATGCGACAAACCCAACAGTTTCTTCTCTAACCTTTAAGACTGGCCAAGGTTGCCTTCCCACCCACAAGCAGGGGGCTTCTCATGGAAACAGCCTAAGCTAACTGTGAGCTCTGTTTAGTGGGTCTCTTTTCCCACCCCCAGCAGGACCCTAAGACAAAGAAGGTATTAGATGCAAAGTCTGACGAAAGAGCTCCCTTATTTGGTACCTAGGACATCAAATTGTTCTCCAAAGTGATCACCAATTGTTTTCTGACTCTGCGAATGACTCACATTCCCTAATACTGGTACTAAACCCATTGTTCTACTCCAGCAAAATGCAGGACTTACAACAATGTCTCATTTTAAACCGGCATCCAATAAAGAAGAGCTTTCCTCAAATTCAAGGTGTGACGCTGCAGACCTACAAATAGTGACACAGCCCTGCATTCAACGTCCAGTGCCAAGCCTGTCCAGTTATGCAGGGTAGACACCAAATTTCCTTAGAAAAATCTCAGTGGTCTACCTCTTGAGAATATTGTGCCTAAAAGAAAACAAAAAATTTACTGAAATCTATAGAAAAGGTCAGCTGATATTAAAAAGCAATAAGCAAACATGTACCTTTGCAATTTACATTTACCCAAAATCAAATTCCAAATACATTAAGTGGTTTAACCATTCATTAAAACTAGAAAAGTAACTTAAACTCTTCGAAATATTCAAAACTGAAACCTCAGTATGAATTCACTTTTAGAAGGCACTTAATTGAAAAGAGACCGAAGATGGAGACACAACTTCAGCATCAGCATTTCATGCTTCAATAAACTGCTGCTGATAACAAAACTCATTAGGGCTGAGCTGGGAGGTAGGGCTGGAGGGAGCAGAAATCAACTCCATTTGAGCTCATTTTGTTTGCCCAGTGAAAAACAATACTTTGGACCCTTTATGACTCATAGAAAATATTGCTTTCAGAAAATTTCTGTTTTGGTTTTTTAAAAGTTGACGGTTGGCCGGGTGCGGTGGCTCAAACCTATAATCCCAGCACTTTGGGAGGCCGAGGCAGGCAGGTCACTTGAGGTCAGGAGTTTGAGACCAGACTGGCCAACATGGTAAAACCCTGTCTCTGCTAAAAATACAAAAATTAGCTGAGTTTGGTGGCGGGTGCCTGTAATCCCAGCCACTTGGGAGGCTGAAGCAGGAGAATCGCTTGGACCCAGGAGGCAGAGGTTGCAGTGAGCTGAGATTGTGCCACTGCACTCCAGCCTGGGCAACAGAGCAAGACTTCATCTCAAAATTTTTAAAAAACCAAATAAATAAATAAAATTAAAAATAAAATTTAAAAGTTGACCTTATTGAGTTTCACCTTTCCAAGAAAACCTGTTCTCACCACTGCCCACCTTCACTTTCTATCTTGAAAGATAAAGTGACTTGTGAGCCTGTCCTGCATGATTTGGTCATATCTTTTCATCTAGGCTGAATGAACAGCCAAGGAACACACACAAACAAAATGTATATAGAAAAAGAATCACCTTAGCAAGGTTCAAGACTCACATTCCCTAAGACTGGTACTAAATCCATTGTTCTACTCTAGCAAAATGCAGGACTTACATCAATGTCTCATTTTAAAGTGGCATCCAATAAACAAGAGCTTTCCTCAAATTCAAGGTGTGACACTGAAGATCTATAAATGGTGACACAGCCTTGCAATCAACATCCAACGGCAACTGGAAAGTCCAAAAGTTATAATAGGTGACAGATCACATGTTCTTTCATTCTCACAGCCCAGCCTGCAACCACAGCAGAACTCAGGAAAGTGGCAACAGGGAAATTTCCTGCATTCTTTTTGATTTAGCCAGAATTATTGAGCATGTGCACATGAGGAATGATTTGGAGGATGGAGCATGGTTCTCAAGAGTGTAGTCCCCCAACCAACAGCATCCACGTCCCCTTGGAAACTTGTTAGAAATGCACATTCTTGGGGCCCACCCTGTCCCTACCAAATTAGACATTTCCTAGGCAGGATCCGGCAATTTGTGTTCTAACCACCCCCAACACCCAGGTGACTGTGATACACATTCAAGTTTGAGAACCACAGGGATAGAAGAGAAAGAAGGTATGTTCCCTGCTTTCGAGGATCTTATCATCTAACTAGGAAAACAACATAATTAACCTAAAAGTAATTGTGAAATAACAGTAAGAGACTGTCTCTACCCTCCAATCAAGAAGAGAAGATTTACATGCTCTGGGCTTCGATTTCTTTATTTCTAAAATGTGTGCTTTGGGGGAATTGGTGTCTAACATCTCTTCCAGGTCTAATGGTCTCTGATTCTATATCTAACCTGTGTTTAAAAGAAAAAAATTAATTGGGAGGCCAGTAGGCTGAGATGGCTCTGGTGCCTTGGGTTCCCTCATAAGCAAGCCAAAACCTAATTCAGAGGGAATAGTCACAGCCCAGAAAAACAAGCTTGACCAATCAGAAACTACCAACTAAGCTCCAACTAGAGGCTTCACCAATCAGAAACTACCTACTAAACTCTAACTAGAGACTTTACCAATCAGGTAAAGACTTTACCAAATAACCTCTAAGTAAGGGCTATCCACTTTAACTCATCAAATATTTTCTTGGGTTTTGCTTTTTTGAACACCTTATAAAAGTTTCCCCCAGTCCCTTTTGGTGGAGCCCAAAGTGTTTGCAGGCTGGTGTTGCCTGACTCATGAACCACTGAATGTTCAAATAAATGCTTTAAAATTTTAATGTGTATAAGTTTATCTTTTTACACCAGAATCCTTTCCTTGACTGTTAATGGTAAATGCCTAAACTCAAGACTTCATCATGGATTAAAAGCTGCCCTCTACGTACAGACTCAACCTGCTCCACCACCCTCTCCCCAAGAGGTAATCCTGGATGGCCAGCAGAGTGCTCCACGGCAAACTCCTCTCAAGCAAAAGTAGAAAAACACAACAGCACCACGCAGTTCTAGCAGGAGGGTACTAGCAGATATAGGATTGCTTTTCAGTGACCACACGTGTACATCTTATAAGGTACGGGCTGAACCAGACTGAGATACCACTTCACAGCTATTAGTATGGCTATTACATATTTTTATAAACCAAACAGAAAATAGTAAGTATTCACAGAGATGTAAAAACTTTTGAACCCATGTGCACTGCTAATGGGAATGCAAAATGGTGCAGTCAGTATGGAAGACAGCACGGAAGTTCTTTAACATGCTAAACATAAAATTACTATATGATCCAGCAATCCCACTTCTAGGAATGAGCCACAAATAACTGAAAGCAGGATTTTTAAGAGATATTTGTACCCACATATTCATAGCAACATTATCACAATAGCCAACATGTGGAAGCTGCCCAAATCAATGGATGAATAAACAAAATGTGGTATACACATATAACGGACTATTCAGCCTTAAAACAGAAGGAAATTCTGATATATGCTACAACATGTATGAACTTTCAAGGCATTATGCTAAGTGAAACAAGCCAATCACAAGGTACAAATATGGACAAGTATGCTTCCACTTACATGACATTAACCTAGAGTACTCAAATCCAGAGATAGCCAGTAGAATGGTGGTTGCCAGATACTAGAGAAAGAAAGTAATGGAGTTATTGTTTAATGGGTATGGAGTTTCTGTTTTACAAGATAAAAAGAATTCTGGAGATGGATGGTTGTGATGGTTATACAACAATGTAAACATACTCAATGCCGCTAAACTGTATGCTTAAAATGGCTAACATAGTAAATGTTATGTTATGTTATGTTATGTTATGTTATGTTATGTTATGTTATGTACAGTTTGCCACAATTTTTTTTAAAAAGGTCCAGGCTGGAGTGTGATGTGAATTTGTGTTGGCTGACTCATATCTACACTCGTGGCTGGTGGAGAATATAACCATCTCTGCAGCCAAGTGCAGCTGGCTCCTACCACAATTCATACAGGCACAGAGTTCGATTTTTGTTCCTTTCCTCTATAAAGGGTCAACAAAATCAGAGGCCTGATCTTTTAGATGTACATCCTGGAATTGTTTTGATTTGATGATATATGGGATCTGCTTCCAAATAATCTAATGGGATCTAATGGGAATGGGTGAATGGGATGAGTAGAGATCAATAGTTCTCAACTGAGGCTGATGTGCTCCTACCCGGACATTTCTGGTTACCATAACTAGAAGAAGGGGTGAGTATACCAATGGCATCTAGAGATCAGCAATGTCGTTAAACATCCTAAAAGGAACAGCATAGCATCCCACAACAAAAAAATTTCCAGCCTAAAATGTCAGTAAGTGCCAAAGTTAAGAAACTCTGGTGGAACACAGTTAGATGAGCCAGATTGGGTATGAGTTGGAAATTGTTGAAGCTGAGTGTCGGGCACATGAAAGTTCATTCTACTAATCATTCCACTTTGATGTATGTTTGAAATTTTCCATAACAAGGCCTTTTTTTAAAAAAAAATTACAAAACTCTGGAAAGCAAATCACTGGCCTAAGATACAGATTTTAAACCCTGGTGATTCCAAGCACTTGAAACTGAAAAGTTCTTTTTATCCACATTAGAGAAACACCTAAATCAGGGAAGTAATATACGTAAGTTAAGAAACAAACTAAAACAAAAAATGGGATGTCTTAATAGGAAAAGAACCACCTTTTATGAAATGATCAAATATCCATTAAACAATGAACCAAATCGGCCAGGCACAGTGGCTCACGCCTGTAATCCCAGCACTTTGGGAGGCTGAGGCAAGCAGATCACGAGGTCAGAAGACCAAGACCATCCTCGCTAACATGGTGACACCCCATCCCTGCTAAAAATACA